CAAGTCCTCATCCTTCTTCCTGTTGCCAGAGAAGGGCTTAGGACTCAACAAGGGTATTTTGGGCATCCACTGCGTAGGCTGCATTGGCCCAGGAGATTGCTGCAGCGGCTGCATAGCCACGGAAACAGGTTGCTGCACACTAACCTGGGCCTGACTTGACAGTGAGACTGTAGTAACCACTGTCGTGGATGGTACGACAGAAGTTCTAAGAACCGGACCACTAACGATTAGTTGACTATTCGAAGGAGGTATGCCAAACATAGGAGAGAAGGATGCCCCTACTGGCGACGGCGTCACTGAGGGGCCCGCGCCCGAAGGGGGAGCTACAACATACTGAGGCTGCCTCATCATGGGACGAGGAGCCTGCAGTGCAGCCAAAATTTGCATCTGGACTAGTTTGGCCAGCACTTCCTGCTGAACAGCCTGTGCTTCAGCCACACAGAGGAGCGAGTTACGCAGCGCTCGCATCACAGGGTCCAGTGTTGACTCATCTAATGCTTCTAATCTTCCTAGCTCGTATCTCCTACTCCCTAGTCTGGTTTTTCTCAAAATAGCTCGCTCTCTCCTCACCGCTGCCTCTCTCAACTGCCACTGCAACTCATCATGAAGTTCCTCTGCCTGGAGGATCTCATAATCCTCTGGTGTGAGTGGCGTCTGCTGGCCGACTTGAGAGCCAACAGATTGACTAACAGAACTCTGAGAGATACCCTGACTGACACCTGACGAAGAGGCCTGGGACAAGGCGTGTGACGTTGTAGAGGAGGTAGCCATCGCAACCTCAACCTGAACTCTAGCGTCCGCTAGTCTTGCTGCTGCAAGTGTCCGTTCAGCGTTGGTTGCCGCTGTCCTAGCCCTCTCTAATATCGTCCTTTCCCTGGCTTCCCTTTGCAGCCGCCTTTCCTCTCCCTGGCCTAACTCCAAAAAGGTAATCGATTGACTGAGTGCAGTTCTATGAGTCATTCTAAGATGTTCGACTGCTCATTCGTCCTCCTCACTACCGCCTGCATCACTCATGAGTTACAGTGTGTGTGATCGAAACTAGAGTCCACACTGAACCCTACCTCAGCATGACACACAACCGGGTATGATCAAACACCTAATTCCGGTAAACCTGGAGAGTGGTCAAGTTGTAACCAACAATCAATGTCAGGTCCGATAGGTAAGTTTGAATTCTATTTTTAGATTACTCTTACACAGATTGCAATGCAGCAAGGAAAGAACTAACCCATCTGCAGTTGTCTGTCAGTTGTTAACAAGTCTGTAACAACTAAATAATCAAAAATAAAATAACCTACCTGTTGAGATGCATGCTTGATGGCAGTTTGTCTAATTAATGCTACCGCGAACAGTTACCGGAATCCCCCCCTCTCCTTGTATCCTTCTTGAGTTGTCACTTTGTGTCAACGCCCTGAGCATCTGGTTGAGCAGCGTGTCTGAACGTGTGCAATCCGGCCCACCCCTGTGCCCCAAGTCAACGCCGAACCTGCCAGCCCCTGCACTTTATTTATCCTCGCATGCAACGAGCCTTACACCCGGTTTGATCTGGCTGATCAGGAGGCATTTAAGGAGATCCCCCGTAACTCCTTAGGAATTATTTAACGTCGCAGACAGGACGACGATCACACCCAGAATCAACACCGAGTCCCCGCCAGAAATATTTAAAGACGATCTGGTAAGCGTCCGTTCAAAGGGTTGGCATGCCCTGCATGACCTCTATTGCGCAGCAGCAGAACCAAGGACTTGCGGCAAAGCATGCGTGTACTAGTCCCAGCGGGTTGACATGGTGACCGTGACCCGAGTGCTTCGTCCAAGGCCCTTCAGAGGCAACGCCCGTCTCCCACCAGCTTGCTGCCCAGGAAGAATGTCGACTCTCAAGGTTGAGCGCCCGCAACACCTCACATTGAGAGGACTCTTAAGACAGAACTCACTTCCTCACGGTAAGAAGCAATGAAGAGGGTAGATAAGGAAGGAAGCAACGTACCTGATAATGCTGCCCCCAACCACTGATTTCTCACCGGCAACCTGATGTGCATTTATGATGACCGGTCTTTGCCTCGACACAACCCACAGCGGAATGCAACTCCACCTCGGCTTAAATGCCACATCAGCGAGCTCTCATCATCCAGCTTACATCCCTAATGTCACAATATAGCTTCCTGGCGCGCCCACACGACCTCAGGCTGCCTTACGTCCAACGCCCAAGCCTTATCACTGCCCCACACCTCATGCGAAGCACCGAACAACTATTGCGAAGAACCAATGAGCGCAATTCGAACCAGCTCCGATACCAAATTGCAAGGAAAATGAGCAATAGCAAGATGACAATAATCAGATTGCACAATCATATTGAAAGCCAGTTCGTATCACAGTGTTAAGAAAGCAGCATTGCACCAATATGACACCAATAGAGAATCGTAGCACTGAAAACCAATGTAAATGAGAGCTTTCTCTCGCCATCACCAACATATGTATCCAGTCCCTATCTCCCTACTTGGTGCTTGGCGCCCAGCCTACTCCCTACACAGCTACTACTAGCCTACTAATTGACAATGCAACTGTTGACATCGGCAGCCTCCGAAGTACTTGAAGATGTCGCCCATGCAGACCATCGCCAATACCAGGTATGTGCCCTCACATCATCATCATCATCATCCTTCTCTCTCTCTCTCTCTCTCGTCTTCCTCCCCACGCCTTCCCTTTGTACATCCAAAGACCACCCCTGCGCCTCACTGTACAACCAAGCCCTCAACCAGCTATGGAGGCTGGGCTATGGCGCTGCCCTCAGCAGCGCCCTGTTCCCTGCACGACCGCACACGCTTGCACCTCGCCTCTCAGCGCCAGCAGCAGCCCACGAGCGTCCACTCCAGCAGCGCTGCCGCTAGCATGCGAGTGCCTGAATGTCTTACCAGGCAGCGAGCTCTTTCCTATATGGAAAGAGCCTGCTTGTCTTTGCAGCCTGGCTGGCCTGGGCCTGGGCCCAGAAGCTTCCGGTAGGCCCCAGGATGTTGTGCCTCTGCTGCGGCTATTGGGCCTCATTCAGTTGGTCCTCCCAATTGTCTGTGTACGAGGCTGCGAATCTCGCCCAGGGCCTGCACTTTCGGAATTGCCTAGAAGGCCATGGAATTTCCTTGCTGCTCGGCCTGTGTTTCCTCAACCAACTGGCGCGACGACACTGCCCGGACCCCAAATACGAATTTGACAGCTTAGGGCCTCTCGTGATTTGTTAGGCCCGCCTTCACTTAGGGCGGGCACATTTGCAGCAGGGGCCCCTCAGGCCTGCCGAGGACCCAGATCCTCGCAGTTATTTAAGCAACGATCGAACTTTTCAAATTTGATTAGTGGTTACTTATCTTGGTCATCAAGGTGACCCCATGGGGGTGGGGAAGTTTTACCACTCTCTCCCCTCCCACCCACCCCATCAACGCTGCCGTCTTTTCCTCTTAGCTTACTTTCTTCGTTCTCTTCCTCTTCTGCCATGGGCATTGGTGAGTTGCCACGTCAGCACGGTACCATGTCAGCAGCGACATGTCAGCAGTGACACATCAACATACCACGTCAGCAGCGACATGAACGCAAGGACAACGAGTCGGAGGCCAATTACGAGGCTCGACTGTCTGCCATGATGCTCTAGCTTAAGAAAAAGGCAGATGCGGCACTTGCCGCTCGAGAGAAGAGGGAGAGGGAAGCAGAGGAGAAACGTCGCCTTGCTGAACCACAACAGCAAGCGCACGACGACGCAACACGACAGGTTGCATATGAAGCACGACAAGCGCGCCTGGATGCATTATTCGAGGAGGAGGCTGAAGTCTTGACCTTGGCCACCGAATGGGGGGCACCCTGTCTACCGTTTTGAGGTGGGTCAGGTGGCTCAGGTAGGGTGGCTTGTAGCATAGGACCATGGTGCACTCTGTCTGCCGCATTGAGGTAGGTCAAGTGGCTTGCGGCCGGTGGCACGCATTGTAGGATTGTGCGGATTTGCGAACAGGTGCCGTTTGATTTTGTCTTCGTTTTTTGTTTTTTTGTTTTTT